ACATTGTGTGCACCATGTGCACTTGTATATTGTAAATAGTAACTGTAACTCTATTTTAAATTTAAATTTATTCTTTAGAAGTGTTTTTTATTCTTATTTTTATTATCTCTTTTTGACTGTTGCACTGAGCCAAAGCAATTTCCAAGTCTGTGACCTCCCGTTACTTACGTTGGCAATAAAAATGATTCTGATTCTGATTCTGATTCTGATTCATTCCACTGTTTAATGGAGCGAAATGAGAAGGCACATTGTGCAAAGGCCGAGGATCTTTTTGGGATTACACAGTTTTTATTTGCAGTGGACTGAGTGGCTCTCGTATTTTGCTCAGAACAAAGTCTGACAAAGTTCTTCAGTGGTGGTGGAGCTGTATTATTAGTGATTTTGAATATAGTTCTTAGATTATTATATAGAATTATATTTTCAAAACTGAGCAGTTTGAACTTACTCAGGATATTGCAATGATGATAACGAAGTGGTTTTTTGTCAAGTGCCTTTAAAGCCTGATTGTACACAGATCTGAGTGGTTTGAGCGTGGTCTCCTTTGCCTGCGACCAGCTAGATAAACAGTAAGTAAAGTGAGGAATTATCATGGCGTTGAAATAAGTGAAAGCCGCCTCGACTGTCAGGCTGTTCCTCATATGCTTTAGAGAGGAAATGTTATATTTAATTGTGTTGGTTACTTTTTTAACATGCTTTTTGAATGTCAGTGTTTGGTCTAAATAGAGCCCTAAGTATTTTGTTTCCGTTACATTTTTTAGTGCCTCTCCATTTACATATATGTTAGGCATCTCTTTAGTATTATTTATTTTATGAAAATACATGCCAACTGTTTTACTAGTGTTTAATGTCAGGCATGAAGATTGGAGCCAATTTTGGATTTTGTCCAATACTGAAGACAACTTTGAGGCCACTGTCTGCATATCCCTTCCATGTGTGAAGATGACGGCATCATCTGCATACATAATTATATCCAGGTCTTTGCACACATCAGGGAGGTGATTTATATAAATGCTGAACAGCAAGGGCCCCAGGATTGACCCTTGTGGGACCCCGGTTGTGCAAGGCTTAAAGGAGGATGTTGCATTATTTGTTCTCACACACTGCACCCGGTCAGTAAGGTATGACTGGAACCACTCCAGTCCTTCACTGGATAGATTACACTGAGCAAGCCGGGACAGGAGGACACAGTGGTTTACCGTGTCGAAGGCCTTTCGTAAGTCCAAGAACACGGTACCCACCGTGCCCCCCTTGTCCATGCCGGCCCTGATGCTCTCTGTCAGGTAGCAGCAGGCAGCATCAGTGGAATGATGTCTGCGAAAACCGAATTGCATTTGATGCAAAACATTATTATCGTTTAGATGTTCCGTTAACTGCTCTATGATTACTTTTTCTAATATTTTTGATACTACAGGTAGTAAACTAATGGGCCTATAGTTACTAACCTCATTTTTGCTACCAGATTAATTTTACTCTAAACAGTGATTTCGAAAAATTAGTTATTTTGGAATTGAAACTGCAATACATTGACCCATTAGTCCTGTTTTGGTTCAGTCCAAACCATGGATCTTTTTGTCCAAACACAACTTAACTTAAAATAGGGCTGGGCGATATGGCAAAAAAGTAAAATCTCGATTTTTTTTCCTGCTTTGGACGATTTCGATTGAAAGTCACCGAAGACAGACTTTGCCTTTAATTTCTTTTTTATCTTTCCGCTCAATATTCAAAACTATTTTAAATTTGTTTACCCCAGTAAGTATTATAAAAGTCTTGTACAGACTGTGCTGAAATTGCAAGTATGATTCATGTGCTGCTGGAACTCTCACAATATCCTTCATTCGATTTCACGATTTTCAAATTTTTCACAAATTCGATTTTTTCAAAAGCCAATAACAATTGCCTAAATTCGATTTATTGCCCAGCCCTAACTTAAAACATAGATATTGAAAAATAAGCTCAGATGCGAAAGAGGAGCTTCAAACAAACTCCCCGCAACAAAATTATTGCAGACCTTGGTTAAAGGCGAAGCTAAGTCTTGTGATCTGGATCTCGAGTCTGCAATAAAGTTATCTATCTATCTATCTATCTAAGAGAAGTTTTATTTCAGCCCTTGACAAAAAGGACCCGGCCTTATCTAAGGTGAAAAAATGCCACTTCTAAACTTGTTTATCTCAAAACGCTATTTTTAGAGCTTAGAAAGGCCTTTTTTCGTCTAGAGAAATGCGATCCTGAGATGGAGGCGGCAGAGCGAGTACAGTTTGGGTTTTTAATGTTTGTGTTTCATTTTTGAGCCTTGGGACAGAGCATTTGGTGCAGATAGTAGCGACGGGATAGATTTTGTGAGGAGATCCCTGGAGAGGCCGTCTGCCACCGAAATGGGACTTCAGAAAATGGTGAAAATTAGTTTGTAGAGTCATTTTCATTTTTGTGTGTCAGTGTGTGTGTGGGTGTGTGTGTGTAGGTGTGTGTGTGTCAGTGTGTCCGGGAATATTTGTGTCTGTCCGTGTATATACAGGTATATGTGTGTCCGTGTATATGTGTGCGTGTGTACGTGTATGTTTGTGTGTGTGTGTGTGTATGTGTGTCCATGAATATGTGTGTGTGTCCATGTATACATATGTGTATGTGTGTGTGTGTGTGTCCGTGTATACGTGTGTGTGTGTACGTGTATGTTTGTGTGTGTATGTGTCCATGTATGTGTGTGAGTGTGGAGGAACACAATAATTATACAAGAATTCATTTGAGATTGACACAGTGCCTACATTGGATTAACCAGATAAAAATAAAAAACACAAAAAAAAAAAAAAATAACACACAAAACCGATGGAATTGTCATACTAATCCTCAACTAATGAAGCGATCATGGATTTTAAAGCTACAAAGGAGAAACGTTTCTTCAAAAAAAAAAAAATTAAATAAAGGCTTAAATATAATCTGTCTAGAGGCCTTGAGCTTTTGATATTTCGACATTCTAAATTTAACTTGTGATGGAGGGCAGCTGAAAACTTTCCTGGACCAAAAATTGTCCCATCTCAGCACGTATTGATCTATAATTATTTATTTTCTCATGAAGGTGTCTAGAAGTGGTGACATTATTCAAAACCGTATGCAGGATGTTGGCCCGTACAAAGGACTTTCAGGACAAGAATGTTCCGGCTTTGTGAATCTGTCTTTCCCACAGAGTTGTTTTGACACCTGATGAAAGTGTGAGGAGAAAGAGGAGGGTTTTCTTTGACAGGTGATCCCACTACAGACAGAGGCATTTTGTCATCAGCGCTGTTAAAACAATGTGTGTGTCGTTGGAAATAGTGTCTTTACATTAGGAATCAAATAAAAAAATGTGATCCCCTTTAATTTTGTCTTAATCATTTCTCCAGGGTTTCTCTGTCTTTCTGTTAGCAACATAAAAATAAAGTTATGGGCTGATTTTTAAGAGTGTATGTTCAGTTCATCAACTACAATGACTATAATATCTTTGGGCTATTATTTTAGCTAAATCGGGCAATGTGAAAAAAAAAACAAACAAAAAAGATTAAAGACTAGGGATGTATACCACATTTTTCAAAACCGTACCTTATTTTGAGTATTTGCTAATACCAAATACCGATACAAACACTGGATTGTGTTATCCCTGCAAATTCTTAAAACTAATACAATTGAAATTTATAGTGTTTTATTTCTCATCTCAACAATAAATAAATGCCTTTACGATTAAACATTTTAGCAATCAACAATAAGAGCCACTGTCATATTCCACTCATACAAATGCTATGTTGTAGAGTTTGTTGTTTTTGTGCTCTGGTGCTAGCAAAGGTGCTATACTCTGTGTGGTGGGGATTTTTCAGAAGTTGTTGGTATTATACGTGTTTGTTTTGGATCCACCTCGCGATAGTTTTGCCGACATCCACTTTCTAGCTGCAGACTTTGGGAGATCACCATGGCAGTTTTTTGCTGTCGTGACGCTAACGTAAATCTGTTGCCCGGATCAGGTTCTATGGTATAAGTATGATTACAAGCCTATGGTATCAACCAGTGTTGTCGACCAAACCCAGCAGTGCCTTCCTTGTTAGCCTGAATCTGCTGATTACAGTGAACTAAATGACGTGGGTAGCAACGGGCTAGCAACCAAAGAGCCAATCACGACTCGTAAGATTAGGCTCGCAGGCTGAAGCTGAATTCAGGGACAGAAGGCTCCTGATTGGTCAGTTGTTAGGGCGCATAACTGGATTTATAAAGACAATATCAACATATAAACACCAGGATCATACAAGAGCATTACAAAACAAACGGTTACAGCACGATGCCAGACGTGGTTCAGTAGTGAGTAATTAAAGTACACAGTTGTAACAGTGAAAACACAGTCTGGGCTGCTCTGTGGCCTCCGGAGCGTAGAACAGTCTAGAACACAGCTCTAAATAATGTAGACCGGCTCCTGATGCAGAGAAGCGACCGAGGCGGCGCGTGTGAGGCTGAGAGCTGTAATGTGATGTACGTGCACTTAGGGAGGCCTGAACTCTACCAGGATTTAGCACAGTATCGGGACTATGACCTGTATTTAACGTCAGGTTCCCGTCATATAAATCTGTTTTAGATGGTGGTAAACATCAAAGATGGGCGTAAATGATCTACAGTATCTGACGAGTAGAGACTGTGTGCCTACTGTAACCATGTAACCTGGATCTACATCCTGTCCGTCCGTGGGAGCAAATCCTTCTCTCTTTGGGTTTTTGAGTTGTAGTTTGCCGATACAGGAGGCTCTGAGGACAGCGATGATCCGGGCATGATTTATGGACATGGTCATCCTGCTCCCAATGGATCAAAGGCTCCTATGTGTTTGTTATTATTGCATTCCTGTGTTCGAACTGTTTGATTCTCTAATCTGTTGTTGAGTAACTTTGTTATGTCCTCCGACATGACTGCTGTTGTGATATAGGGCTATACAAAAATAAATTGAATTGATTAAATATTGTTAGTAACTATTGTCTGTGTTGCCTGGTTCTCAGCAGCGGCCTCAGCAGCAGTCTCTGGCCTCGTCTCTGTGTCGGGAGTCCCACTGGAAGTGCCTGCTGCTGACCCTCCTCATGTACGGCTGCTTTGCCACACTGGCCTGGTGCGCCTTGTGCCGTGTGCCGGTGCTGGGCGCCTCTCTGCCTCTAGGGGGCGACGATGATGCCGCCTCTGCTGCGTACTACAGTGACATCGTGCACCTGGAGAGCCCCTGCTCCAGCGGCTACGTCTACATCCCTCTGGCCTTCCTCGCCATGCTCTACGTGGTCTACCTGGTGGAGTGCTGGCACTGCTTCTCCAAGACCGCCACGCTCGCCCACGCCGAGTTTCAGGTGCTAAAACTGTGTTGAATATGAAGGATGTTTGTGAAGCACAAACAGAGTCAGGGATGGGTAATAGTTCTCACAGCAGGGAGTACTAGTACTAGGACTCCCGTAATGTTGACAGCTTCCAATCAAGTCAATGGCATTCTGAAAACATCTAGATAGTTTTCCACTAGTTTAATTAAAAGTAAGGGATTTAAAGGGGTTTACCTTTAATCACTTTTAATGAGTGCTAAAACTAATGAGTGTAACTAGAAATACAGTTTAAAAAAAGATTTTGTTGGAATGCTGATGATAAAGACCAAGTGATAACTGCTGCAGATATAAACAGTGTTGCTATGGTAACTGGCACATTGCTCTGCTCTGGTGGAAAACCAAGCTGACACAGCTCAGATTAAGAACAAACCCAGGACCAGTCCTGAACCAGCACCTTGAAAAACGGCTTTAACTGCCATAGAATACAAGATCATTTCTTGTATTACAAAAAATAAGGTTAAGTCTATAAAAATAATGACATTGTCAAATTAACTGCTTGGGAGTCCTAGTGTTAAACCATGTGTTTCCAGTTGGTTTAAACATAATGAACGGACGTGTCCATGGTTTGATGTTGTAGTCTGCTGTTGGGCTGTACAAAAACCTTCTTTAAAGTTTCTCAACCTCATGTGTTCCTCTCCCAGGAGGTGTATGAGAGAGTACAGCGCCTCCAACAGGCCACTCCGTGCATTTGGTGGAAGGCCATCAGTTATCACTATGTGAGGAGGACGAGGCAGGTGACGCGATATCGAAATGGAGACGCCTACACAACCACACAGGTGAGTCAAACTGATCAACAACTATATGCACCTAGTCATGGAGTTTTAGGCACTGTTTCAGCTTCCTATATGATTTTGCATGCTTTAATAATATGTTATGCATGTTTTAATTTCTCCTATAGTGAAGTATTGCGGGGCTGTGTGCAAACAGCTGTGTGCAGTAAGACAAATACCATTCTCTTAAGATTCTATCCTTTTAGAAGTCACTTATACCACAGTTACATTGTAGTTCCAGCTCTCCTCTCAAACTCTTTTCTCTTACTCTCTGTGGCGTCCCAGGTGTACCACGAGCGGGTCAACACACATGCGTCCAGCTCGGAATTTGACTACGCTCGATACGGTGTCAAAGATGTGTCCAAAGAGCTGCTGGACCTGGCAGTGCACCCAGCCGTACGCCTGCGCTTTACCAAGTGTTTCAGGTCAGAGCAACAGCACATGTTTCAGGGGGCTGACAACACAGATTTTTTAAACTGTTTTGACTGGTTTTGGGCTGTTCTGGGCATTAAACCCTTTAATGGTTTACTCTTTTCTCTTGGTTTTCACTTTTTGAGTCACTATATCTACTTGAAGCTTGGAACTGAAATCTACCTCATTGGAGCATCTCACTTGGTTTTAGGCACTTTTACCATCAAACTGCATTGTGAAGATCAGAGGTTCTGATCTTCACAATGAGGCTTTATGCTTGAAGACTATTTTGGGTTAGTAAGAGGGCCAGATTCAATGACTCAAAGGACCCCTTTTGGCCTGCCGGCCTTAGTTTGGATATACCTGGTGTTCTGTGATAAGTGGCGATAACACGTGTTTGTGTGCAGCTTCTCCAGTGCGCGAGCTGAAGCGGCCTACCTCACGCAGGTAGGTGGAGTTCTGTAAAATCCTGGTTCAAAAGTTGTTTAGTGTCAGTGACTAATGTGCTTTTTTCTCAGCGAGCGCGCTTCTTTGGTGAGAACGAGGGCTTGGACGACTACATGGAGGCGCGTGAGGGGATGCACCTGAAGAATGTGGACTTTCGGGAGCACATCCTGGCATTCCCAGACCCGGCTCACCCGCCCTGGTTCTCCCGCCACCGGTTGTTCTGGTTGGCCTCGGCTTTCCTACTGTCCTGGCCTCTGCGTGTGGTGTCAGAGTATCGCACGGCCTACGTACACTACCACGTGGAGAAGCTGTTCGGAGAGGACGAGGACTCTGTGGGCGGAGGAGCGCGAGATGGAGCAGACACTGAGAACGGGCTGCACCCCGGGGGCGTGTCCGTGGGCATGGGCCTGAACAGTTACAGAGCCATCTCTCGGGTCAACACTGTGGACATGACGGAGCTGGAGTGGCACATTCGTTGTAACCAGCAGCTGGTGCCCAGTTACTCTGAAGCTCTGCTCATGGACATGGACTCCATCAGCACTAACCCCACGGCCAGCACCCCCATCTCAGGCCCCGGAGCCACCCCTCTGCAGCCGCCCCACCCCCCTGCTCTAGCTCTGCCTGTGCTTTTTAACTCAGCCTATCTTCTGCAGAGCTGCCCGCGCTGCCGTAGGACAACCTCCAGCTCCAGCTTGCCCTCCAGGCTGCGTGCGCCCATGGGCACCACGGCTCTGCTCAACGCCACTGTGGCCGGGCTGAGGGCCGCGGGTCAGGGGGCTGCTGGTCCTGGGGGCCGCCTGGTGCTCAGCCGCAGCGGCTTCTCTTTGGGACGACTGAGCAGCGCACGACAGAACAACCTGTTTCACTCGCGCAGCGTGGGTGGCGGCCTGGCGGGCAGCAGAGAGGACGGGGGCAGTGGCTTTTTAGGCTTAGGCTCCAGACAAGCACAGGACAATGAGGAAACCAGGGGAGTTCTGGAGGGAGAGGGGGAGGAAGAGGAAGAACAACCAGAGGAAGAAGTGCGCATGAGAGAAGACAGAGGGCGCACAGGACCAGAGAGGGACGAGGACACGGAGCAGGACTCTTCAGACAGGAGGGATGCAGACAGAGAACGGCCCCCGTCCTACCAGGAGGCCTTCTTCTTCCCTGTGCTCATCATCCACGGAGAGGAGAGCTGCCATGGAGACGACATGTGAGATACAAATGTGCTGAGTCAGTGGCACTGCAGCTGTGGAGAAGAGAGTTCAGGATGTCAGAGGATTTAGATGAAAGGAAGAGATTAAGTGAAGTAAAAACGGTTTCCAGACAAATCTATGCAAGTTATGGAGGAGGAGTTGTTAAAAGAGCAGCTACGAGAGCAGACGTGAAACGCACTGCTGCAGAGGGACCACAGTGATCAAAGTGTGGTTTGAAGCTCAGGACCCAGAGGCACACTGTACTTCACATGGTTACTGGATAAAGAGTGGGCTAGAAAAGCACTGTGAGTCCTATGTAATAAAAAGCTCAAATGTAATTTTCCATGCATAAAGAAACAAAGATAATCATTACTATGTAATCCAGGCAGAATAGGATGGTTTGTGGATGTGGGAAAATTTGTGTTTGAACAAACAGCAGTTACATAGTAAGGCTGTAACTGACAACTTTTCCCAAAAAGATATATCAATATATATCTTTTGATCCATTTACAAGTAGCACTAGCTCCTCACACAGCTGAAATCTACATTGTTGTGATGTATAGCACTTTTCAGAAACAGGAAATGGGACATGAAATGGACCAGTTCATGGTTTCCAGATTCTGTTGACATGACTCACATTTTTTTCTACATTACCAGACTTTGTTAAATCCGCTTTTGTTTAACAATGACGCTGCATCTTGAGGTTTGTGAAACTTGCAGATGTAAAAACCCACTTCTAGTCAGCAGCGTTTGCCCCAGTAGGGTTTGAGATCCAAGCAGGCTGAATTATGGTATTAATCAATAATCCTAATGTTTGACCATTGGGCTCCACCCTTCTCTTCCTGCTTTTAGAGTGCAGCCGATCAGATTTCACTCCACACTACATCCTTCACGTCTGCTGCCTTGTAAACAGAAATACACAGCTAGATATAGAAATACTCCCCGGACATTGAATCCTCCTCCAGAACTCCTTTGGTTTCCTCATTGTCCTGTGCCTGGCATTACATTAGACATGTTATTTCCAGTTTTTAGATATTTGGGGCCAAGAATAGCACTACATGTTTCCATATTGTTCATTTCTTGTGGGTTGGATCAATAGGTTGCTGTCTCTCTGGCTGTTTCAAATGTCTCACTGTAAATGCCTATGTAGATTTAGACTGAACCACTCCATGTGACAAAAATACATTAGATCATTATGTCCAGTAGAGCTAAACACTGGTATTTGTCCTACACCACCTCAGAGGAGCAGCGAGACCCAACTGTACAGTATAGATGCCTGCAGTAGATTCACAGTGACCACTACCTCGGCCTTACGCAGACGGCTCCCGCTGAGTGCATGCCACTTCCTGTAGGTGCCGACCAGGAGCTGGTCAGAGCCGCCTCAAGTAGCAAATGTGATGCCATTAGACAAATGGAGCTGGTGCATTAGCAGTGGGATGCAGGGAATGAGCTGCCTGCAGAGGGCGCTACACATCAGAACTATTCAAGAGAACTGGGAGCTGTTGGTGAAAGATTTTTTTTTTTTTTTTTTTTTTTATGTAGACATATTCATCAAAAATAATGGATGCATTGTGGAAGTTATATAATTTAAAGCTGGGGTTCCTTCCTTATTTTTATTTTGTCCCAACAGAAAGAGTCTTGTCCAAGTAAAATGTTGTGAACAGATCAGACCACAACATGCTGCCTTCAAGAACAAGAAAGCTGATTGGCTGAGCAAAGGTGGTCCTCTCTTTTTCTATTTTCTGTCTGAAAAAGCTGATTTAAAGATGTGAGAGGGGCCACAAATACTGTACATGCAAGAACAAAAACTACGGACATGTATTTTATTAGAGTTCCATTGTCGTGTTTTGAAAGTTAGGTACCCCAGCTTTAATCTATTTCAATCAATCTATGTATGTGTTTATTTTTACTTTTCCACCCTTTTTGTTTCTGTGGATGTCCAGTTATGATTTAACTGTAAAATGCGTCACTTTTGGTCTGTATCAGAAGGCAATTGGATTTCCAGCATTGCTCCCAAACTGAGCCACCCTCGCTGTAAAGAATATATCAATAAATATATAATTGTGACAGCGAACGGAACACTGAAAAGCACAGGCCTCGTCGACACGCAGCTCACCTGGATTCGGCAGAAATGCAACGGTGGCAAAGAAAAACTGGAGCAGGGTTTAAAAGGGACACGTGAGCACCTCTCCACACTCAGACTGAGACGGCACAAGGAAAACACAACCACTGCTTTTGTTTTCCCACTGGAGCCTGAAGCAAAGCAGGACTAATGTGACCACAAAGACTCGTTTTTACTCCTAGAACTGATCATCACCTGTGGCTACTTCTTCTTCATTTGGACTAACGCTTCAAACCGCACACCTTTGATTCCTTTTGTGGCGATACACAAAATGCAATAACTGCTACATTATTTGTCATTGGTGATTATTGACCTTCTGTTTACACTTTTTTTGAATGAACTTCCTGTTTATGCATCATACGTTGTGCTGTGCGGAGGCTGCACGTTTTCAGCAACATATTTCATCGTGATTCCAATTTTCCAATGTTTAAAGGAGCAATATGTAATCATCTGGGCAAAAGTGGTACTGCAACCTCTCCCGCTCTGCCTGACTCAGGTTGCCAGATATGCAGACGAATCCAGCTGGGACCATAAGAGCTGAATATACAAGAGTTTTGTCAACAACAAATCTAAAACCAACACCTTTTTCACAAAGGTTCTGCGGCCACATGTTACTTTACCCGTGAGATTAGCTCGATGTGGTAAGTTCTGGCAACCCAGATCACGGACTTTCTGATTGGTGAAACAGTGGAGGGCGGGACATCGAAATGAAAACAATAACATTTAGGGACATTGAAATTCAAATGATCTCGGCTGAACTACTGTTATCAGATTAAGAAGTAATCGAAAAGAGAATGGTTTATTAATGCCTTTTGATATATTAGAGCCATTTTAGGATGACTTGACATCAAAATCTTACATATGGCTACTTTAAAAGGCCTAATTTTGTAGATTAAGTTGTGTTATAGATAGACTTGAATCGAGTTACATTTCAAAAAGGGAAAATCAAAGTGAATGCCAGTTACTTTTTGAACTGTGAAGAGAGATAGAAACTTTTTGAGGGCTAATTAGACCCGCCCATGAAGATTTACTCCAACTTGCTCCCTTGCTCAGATTGACCGACATTAAAGGCCAATCTGACTTACACCCTGAAGCTCAGTAACTGTTTGTGTGACACTCACCATTTTGGACTTAAAAATATCTATGGTTTAGCGCCCTCTGTGATCCTGGTGTTAATGTTGTAAATCCAGATAAGCCTTTAGGATTGACCAATCAGATGCCTTTATTCACAGTGTAAACTTCTGCTAGCCTTAGGAACAATATTAGCAACGTGTCTGCTTCACTTCTGGCATCAAGCTATCCCCCATCATAACAAATGCCCATATAAGGAATCTGGCTCCAGCTAGCTGATGATGAAATCGGCTTCTTCCCTAGTTGGCAAAGACAACGGTGGCGTCAGCACTCGCTCAGTCCACACGTTCTATGAATGCGACAAAGAACACAATAAATCTGAGTCTTTTTAGTGACATCAAAAGCGCGTGTTCAGCCTCCGCACGGTGCATGTGTCTCCACGTCCATGCGATTGTCTCACTCGTGTCTTCAAGCTGCTCTGTTTGTGCCAACACAACTTCATGATGTCTTTCACAAACACACAGGCTTTGCATGTTGAGTCACTGCAGCTGCGCCCCCTGCTGGTGGTCAAAGTGACTTAAGTTCTGTGGTTACAGCCGTTCATTGTTTAACATTGGCTTACAGGTGCTTTCCTCCTTTGTCCTTGGGGTCCCGCTTTTTGCTTCAGAATGTTACTTTGCCTGAATAGTTTGTCATTAATTAAACTTGGAAACAAGCAGGCGACTTCACTCGGCTCAGTTATACGTTATATTTTACATATCATACATCAAAACTAATAACATCTTATAACAAAACCAATTTCCCCTAGTGTGACAATAAAGGTAACTTTGATATCTGAGGAGAGGCAAGGCTTCTCGGTATCTATAATTGAGGAATGTGTACATGTTTTAAAGGAGAAAAATATGTAAATCGACTTTCTCTCTCTTTTAACCATGTTCGTTCATCAGAAACAACCGGGAGTTGCTTTCAGAGTCATCCACGCTAATATCAGGAACTTAAAACATGTAACTCCGCCCCTTCAGCCTAAAAGCTCCTGTCTCAGTCCTGTTATAGTTTTATATCGTTGTACCAATATGACATCACACTGACATCAGTTATCTGCCTTTATAAATACAAGTTTTGCCAATACATTATTTTTTGGTAAATTTCTTTATCAACTCCCTCTGGTGGCAGAATAGGGATCTACAAGCAGAAATTATTTTTTACCTTTAATTTTTGTTTCACTATATATTTTCCTGGTACTAGAAACTATTTCATATTCTATTACATGGAATGACAAAGTAAATAGTCCCATTAGCATTTTCATCGACAAAAATAATGCCTAATGTTTCTTCTTTAAACCAATTTGAGCGACATCACAAGCAAAGCAATACCATATCGAAGCAGATATGAAACTACTTCACAAAACTATCGCCACCGGGACAGCTCAGGAATGCACCTTTGAGAAAATGCTGTTACCAAAGTTATAACTGCTCAAATTAGAGTTACTATTCTGAATAAAAGTCACTTTAACCAGGTCTAGGTGCTTCGGTTTGGCAGTGCAAAAGAGCTGATCTTAGACTAGACAAATTAACGTAATCTCCATCTCAAAACTTGCTGGATGCATGAAATGTTGCCTTTGTATCCGAAAAGTCGATGATTCAGTTGATGCTGCATTCCTGTGCCACACGTTTATGAGTTTTGCATTTGCCATTTATTTTACATTCAAAACAAAAGCGGAAAACACCCACATAAAAACCATCCCATGTCATTGTAATGGTGGCAGTAGACTGTGATACTAAATACTCAGGAACAGTTTAGATTACTAATTGGGCCTCATTCCATGTGT